TGAGGGGAATGTAATAAAGCATGAGACCTGATCATAAAGGGGACATAATCGAAAATATGAAATGCATGACTAAGTTAAAACATAGTAAAATCATTTAAGAAAATTCATTAAATCATGAACATGGGCAATGCATCTTTAAATCATAAATAAAGCTTCATCAAACATTGGTAATTGACTTAGTTCGTATTGTGGAAAGTTTACAATTAATCGACATAGACTAAGTGAGCTATAACATGGAATCTGGTATATCCCTCATACCGAAAGAAAGGAAACTACTTGTCAAGGTAGAATCCATACACATTATATCATGTGCTATATGTGAATCCACTAGCTAGGTCATTTAACACAACTCCTATGGAGGGACGTAGTTTAGGACTAGAGGTTGCAACTAGAGACTAACCTAATTGAGCCTCCACCTCAAAGCCACTCAGTGCTAAGTAAAAATCTCACATAATAGTCATTAATCATATTCATATCATCCATGGAAAAGTACAATTAAGATATTGATCCAAGCTAGAAACATCATAGAGTAGTTCCTTAGACCGAGCGTGAGAAAACCTTTCACCATTCATGATCTTTTCATAATAGCTTTATAAGGCCCATAGTCATTAACTTCATACTAAAAGTGCCCTACAACTAATGAAAATAGTTTTAAAAGCGTGATCTACAATCATTGATGGCATATATGAATACCATACTAATTAAGACCTAATTTACAAAAATAGTCCAAAAGCATTGAGGGCAAATCTAGATGTCATTCATGTCATGTGGCCAAACTTCATAGAACATGTAGATACTTTCATCTAAATAGACATGATTTCATAAAAATATATTCATAGATTCAAGCTTCTTCATAAATTCATGTAAGTTAGGATTCATAATCAAAATTCATAGATCAATGCATGGTTCACATGGAATTAGTTGAAAAGCATGCAATTAAGTCCAAATCATCAAAATAAGATCATAATCAAGCAATTGAATCCATATAAATATGAGGAATTGAATGAAAACCTAATCAATTTTTGGGAAATGGAATTGGAGAATTGAAGAAACTTTGGGGAATCAATGGGTGATTGGGACCCATTGATGAAATCCCTACATACCTTGATTGAAGTCTTAACCAATGATGAAGAAAAGAGACTAGAGCTTGAAGAACCCTATCTTCTTCTTCCTTGATCTGGAGAGAAGATTTTTGGAGAGAACCTTGGAGAGACTTTAGGAATATGAGAGAAAGAATAAGTTGGGGGAAATTTCTAAGAGTGAAGGGTATTTATAGGGCTTAGATTTAGGGGTAAAAGGACGTAGTTGAGTCATTAATCAATTAGAGTAAAGACTTAAAAGCCCATAAAAAATAACTGTTGATTCGACCTATAGTTCAGACCTATGTACTGATCAACCATAGACCAAGTATTGGGAACTTAAAAATCACCTATCTTTGAAGGAACCCATGTACGACTCGTAGGTCTTCCTACTATCCATACATGCCAACCGTAGAAATCAACTTACGCTTTGAAATTTCACTAAGTCTGGGGTAACCTACGAGACCTATCTACGACTCGCACATGGAATGACGGGCCGTCTTGGTGAACCGTACAAAGGGTACTGGGACTTATTTTGGAAAAATTATTTTCCTCAGTTTTACGATTACCACCTACTCCTCGTAGGTCCGTAGATGGAAACCGTAGATGCAACCTGCAACCCAAAAATTCATTTTCTCCCTTTTCCAAATTATAGGGTAATACATTTTGGAACTCTATAGTTAAAATCTCATTGAAAAATGAGTTGAAATCATGCTCAAAACTCTAATTTACTTAAAACATAAGTTCATGAGAGAAATCCTCAATACTCGGATCCAGAACCCCTACTCGAATTTGAAATATTTCTTGAAAAGGATCCTACCCATGCTTAGGGAAGTTCAAATATGAAATTTCATTAAAACTTGAGTTAAAATCGATCTTGAAATCCTCAATTTATCAAACTTTAACTTTACCCGAGAAAACTCAAATTCTCAAGTTTATACGCAGTCAATATGATGAAAATAATTTATGAATCAACAAGTTTATATCAAAAATCAGTTTACACATAACATAAGGATCCTAAATATACATTTTTCATCAAAATCCAAGTTTAACTCGATAAAACCCTAATTTCTCCCAAAAATTACACAGATGAGGAAAGAAAACTATATGAAGAAATCATGAGAAAATACTGAAATGAGGATTGGATATTAACCCCCATATTAAATCAAGAAAAATGCCACAAAATTCACTTCATTCCGACCTCTAGAACTCCCAATATGCTAAAAATATCAAATGAACACAATCTAAAATTTTAAATAGCTGAACAGCAATAGTTGCACCAGCCAATCAACAACTTTTATTTCATTAGAAAGGTTCTAAATTCCTCATACGACAGTGAAATTACCCGATTCTTTATCCTAAATGTCTTAAATAATGATATGGATCTGCTCATTCAATCGAAACTCAATTCCGTACTCATTTACCTAGTCAAATATCATTTCTGCTCGATAAATAATTATTTCATAATTGCGATAAAAATAAAATCTCGGGTTAGCAAAAAATGAACCAAACTTTACAGATCATTCCTATAATTCATGTCCAAACTTTCAGAAGTTTTTGGAATAATTTTGTGGTCGTTAAAATTAATAACGAACCTTTTAGTTGACACAAATTGTTGAAACAATGCCAAAGCACCCAAAAAGCTTAAAAACTCACTCAAACTTCATCTAGAACCTCCCGAACATAAACCATATATGCTACTAGTATGAAAATGATATTTCGAGGTCAATAGAATCATCAAAACACCCAAACAAGGTCATGTTAACCCGGCGTTGATCAAAATCAACTTTAACTTAAGAATCTCCAAATTTTCAAGTAAGGACATGAAACTCATCCAAAAGCTTCGGGAACTAAATCAAACATTCAACTATGTATGTATCAACTATATAGAATTCCATTCCGAGACTCGTAGCTATGGTTGTTATCAAAAATCACTTTTAACAATTTTAACTCTCCAAAACTCTAAAACTTTCAAAAATCAAAACTTTACAATCAAATTTCAAAACCAACTTCATAAACTGATCAAATAAGACTCGAAGTAACTATCAAGAGGGGTAAAATAGTAATTTTTTAAAATTTTCCAAAAATGACCTTCAGAGTCATTACACATTCATATAGAAATAATTAGTTTAATAAAAGATGGTTTAATTAAGCAACTATGTATGTATTATTTCTGCATTTTTTTCTGTACCCAAAATTTAAAAAAAAAAAACTTTTTCTCCTATCCCCCACCCCACCCCACTTCATTATAATAATAACATGAATTTAAAAAATATAAACATTTAAGTTTGTTCCACATTTGAATTTCTGATATCCTAAGTAAGAATAAGAGATTAAAAAAGGAATTAAAAAAAAGGTATGAACAAGACAATCGGATAATTGATAGAAATTTTATATTAATTAAAAAAGCATCCACTTTTAATAGGCAATCAGACGGCGCGAATATGGATTTTAGTAGAATCCCAATTATGAGTTGGGTTATGACAAGTTGGGTGTTGATTTAAAATAGGTCAATAGAAAGATATAATGAAATTAATAATTTTTTTGAATACTATTTTCAAGCATATTGGGTCAAAATATGAATCATCTGTGATTTTTATTATGAAAAACTACATAACTAGACATACTTCACTACCATATATATGATTATCACCTATACTTTCAAAATATTATGTATCGTACCACTAATTAAGAGTTATTTTTACCATAGATTGAGAAAGATATACTTAAATATATGTATTTTTGCTTCCATATACACTTAAATAGGGAGAGAGGCGAACGAGATGTAGAGGGAGACAAATGTGATTCTTTTATGTACCCCGAATGCATGTGAATCACACAAGATATATATATATATATATATATATATATATATGTATGTATGTATGTATCTGGTCTAGCCATAGGAAAGTAGTGAGTGAGATGAGAGAGAGGCGTGGGAGGAAAGCGAGATTTGTTATGTATGTCTAATATATGTGAATCCACTTGGATATAATGCATCTGGAATAAATTTGACCGCATCTATCCTTAGATATAGATAAACCAAAATCTGATAAGATACGTAATATTGCAAACTTGAGCGTATCTAAGTAATTAACTCCTAGACTAGTGAGATTTATGTAAGTTTTCCTTATTATTAATTATTTGAGAAGGGTTAAAATTCGAACTAATCGGATAGGCAACATAATAAATAAATATCTAATAATTTTACTTTAGCTAAACTGTTAAAAGTAAGGGAAAATATGAGCCGAGAGCTAATATTGATGATATTTTTAAGGGAAATTTTCGCATATAGCCACTCAGAAATAATTTAATTATGCTCCATAGCTATAATTTGCTAATTAAGATTTGTAGCTACATGTTAGAGGGAGGAGAGAGATGAACTGTATATGTATATATGTCGAATTGTAAATATGTAACTAATATACATATGCATTTGTATATTTGACGAGCAAAATTGGGAGAGGGAGAAGAAAGGCAAGCGAGAGAGGACAAGAGAGGGAGGAGAGAATTGTATATATATCAAACAATTGTATATATGTAACTGGTATACATATGTATTTGTATATCTGGCCAGCGAGATTGTGAGAGGGAGGAGAGAGGCAAGTGAGAGAGGCTAATTGTATTTGTATATCTGTCATATGATTTTGTGTGTGTGTGTGTATAATTTGTATTTGTATATGTATAAGCGACGTAATTACACTTGCGAACTGTAATTAATTCAAACTATAACTATGTTAGCTAATTAACTAGTATATGTTTGCTTATCCACATAATTTTCCTTATTTTTAAGTCAAAAAATATATTTGGAGTCTAAAAAATGGATGAAGGATAATTTTATAGCAATTCAAATAATTAAGAAAACATAGTTAAAATAGTCACCTTGGAACTTGTTTAACCCCCTTAACTCATTTTGACTCTGCTGTTGTACTATTTCAGGGTTTTATGCTATCTATCTTCTTCCTGCACGATTGAAAATGCTTGTCCGATTTTATTTCCGTTCTCTCTTCTTCCCTAAACTCCCCGTCCGTTTTCTCCGCTTCTTCTGCTCTTCACAACTCCAGCCAACGCCGCCGGAACTTCCGCAATTTGAACCCTCAAACGACGCCGACTTGATTTCTCAACTACTCCAACACCACAATCCATTTCACGCCATGGAATCTTCTCTTCAGCTCCATGGCATTTCCTTCACCCCTTTTCTTGTTCATCAGACTCTCATCCGACTCAAACACTCTTCTAAAGTTGCTCTCTCCTTCTTTCACTATTCCCAAACCCAACCCAATTCCGACACTGACACCTCCACTGCTTTCAATCTCCTCATCGACATTTTATGCAAAGTCCGCCAGTTCGATGTTGCATGGCAGCTTATTATTCAAATGGACCAGAAATCTGTAAAAACTGACTTCACTACTTTCTATCTGTTGATCCGTAGGCTTATCTCGGCTGGCTTCACCCGCCAAGCTATTCGGACTTTTAGTGAAATGCACGTATTTCTTGATCAATACGATGAAGATGAAGTATGGAAATTGTATTTTAGTTACCTTCTTGATACTCTTTGTAAATATGGGTATGTTAAGGTGGCTACTGAAGTTTTTAATAAAGAGAAATGGAGATTGGAGCTCAACTGTAAAGTTTATACTATTCTGATTTATGGTTGGTGTAAAGTGAAGAATGTAGAGATGGCTAGGAGGTTTCTTGGGGAGATGTTGGATAAGGGTATTGACCCGAACGTGGTAAGTTACAATGTGTTATTGAATGGAATTTGTAGGAGAGCGAGTTTGCATCCGGATGGTAGGTTTGACAAGGTAATTAGGGAGGCAGAGAAGGTGTTTGAAGAAATGACTGAAAGAGGTGTGGAACCAGATGTGACCAGCTATTCCATACTCCTACATGTCTATAGCCGGGCTCATAAGCCTGAGTTATCACTTGAGAAATTAAGGATTATGAGACGCAAAGGGATATGCCCGAATATTGTGACATATACCTCAGTTATCAAGTGTCTCTGCACTTGTGGTAGGATTGAAGATGCGGAGCTATTACTTGAGCAAATGGTTTCTAATGGGGTGACTCCCACATCCACAACTTACAATTGTTTCTTTAAAGAGTTCAAAGGGAGGAAGGATGTTGATGGTGCGTTGAGGTTGTATGGGAAAATGAAGGAGGGTTCCCTATGCTCTCCTAGCGTGAGTACATTCAACATATTGTTGGGGATGTTATTGAAACTAGGTCGAATGGGGCTGGCAAGAGATATTTGGGACGATATGAAGGATTCTGGAGCAGGACCTGATTTGGATTCATATACATTGTTGATTCATGGATTTTGTGAGAAACAAAAATGGAAAACAGCTTGTGAATTCTTTATGGAAATGATAGAAAAGGGATTTCTGCCACAGAAGGTCACCTTCGAGACACTTTATAGAGGCTTAATACAATCCAATATGCTGAGAACTTGGAGAAGGTTAAAAAAGAGGCTTGATGAGGAATCAATAACTTTTGGTTCAGAATTTGAAAATTATCATCTCAAGCCTTATAGAAGGTAATCTGATGAAATTCTGAAAGGGGTACAAGGCTGAACAATCTGACTTCAATCTAAAGAGCTAACTGATACTTCCTGATTAATGGAGAGCTATTTATAATTGATGATGTAACAGACATCAAGGATATAAGTAAGATTCTTAGGCTTTAGTTCAGGCTGTAAGGGGTGACGCCAGACACATTAAATGAGACACTCTTCATCTCAAAGCCCCCCTATGTACCAGCAACCACATGCACTTCCTCCTTATCACAAATCTCAAGGAGGAACATTCTCCCAACCAAGTAATGCAATGAGTCGGATTGAAAGTTGTTCAAGCAAATGATGGACAAAAGTACCCAAACGGATGCTCAAATGGATTCTCTCACAACTTCCATCAGCAATCTTGAAGTGCAAATGGGCCAAATTTCTCATGCCCTCAACTTTAGACCAAAGGGTGCTCTACCAAGTAATCCGGTGGCTATAATCCTAAAGGTACAGAGGAGAGAAAATGGGAAACTTTGGGGGTTATGTCAACAAAATATAAAGAAAATCACTACTCATCTTCAGTTGTGGAGAGGATGAGTAAGAAGGCAATGGAATGTTGCTACATGTTAAGTGTATTGTTTTTTAAATCCTTTTTGTAGTGCATAGAATGTTGGGTGTTTTTCCCCCTTATCTTTGGTTGCCTTTGTTTTAAAATGTATACATCCAATTTATCGTTTTCTCCTTGCTATGTACTGGTCAATTTTTTCTTCTTATTTTTCCTACTGCTGAATGTTCTAGTCTGCAGTTCGGGACCTTAGAGCTCAACTCAAGCTGCCATCTATACATCCAATTTATCGCTTTCTCCTTACTATGTGCTGGTCAAATTTTTCTTCTTACTTTTCCTACTGCTGAATGTTCTAGTCTGCAGTTCGGGACCTTAGAGCTCAACTCAAGCTGCCATCTATACATCCAATTTATCGCTTTCTCCTTACTATGTGCTGGTCAAATTTTTCTTCTTACTTTTCCTACTGCTGAATGTTCTAGTCTGCAGTTCGGGACCTTAGAGCTCAACTCAAGCTGCCATCTATGCTACAAGGTAGTAGTAGTATTTTTTCTTACTCATAAATCTGTTGTTTGTATGCTCTGGAATATGAAACCCAAAAAAGGAGGGGGAGAGAGAGAATGTTTGTTATTCCCTGGCGTTGTTCAATTGTTTTGGTGATTTTGTCCATTTTGCTCCTTTAAAAAGGAGTCCTATGTTTGTAATCTCTATGTGTTGTATGTAGCTTGTTTTGTATCACACTGTGTGTTGCTTGGTACAGGAGTAGCATTTTAGGAGTTCGGCTAGACTTCGATTATGATGCTATTGGCTGCTGCTGCTGCTCCATGAGTTGTGGGGAAGTTAAGCATTAATGCTGAATGTTGCAGAAATATGAAAGAATGTTCAAGTAGTTTGACGTGTATTGCGGAACTGTCAACCATCAGAAGTCAGTCTTCTCCCACCTGGCCACCCTCCATAAAAATAGAAAACTAACATAATTAGGGTTGTAAATTGTGAGTTTGAAAGGGGTATTATGTATAGGAATGGTTTTATTTGTGTTTCTATTTTTTGATACTTTAGATGCAAGTTTCGCTTTTCGCCTCCAGAGTAATGGAAGAGATAGAAACTGGAGGGTAAGAGCAGCATTTATCTAACATCAAACCAGCCAATAAGATTGAATACTCTTAGGAACTGCAAATGGTGGGCTGGACCTCTTATCTGCTTGAATCATTCTGCCTAACCCTAATGTAGATCCTACTAGCTAGTTTGGGTTTTAAATTTTTACGAAAAGATGTGGTCCTCAGTGGCCACTTGTTCCTTTGCGTCTTTATGACTTATTAAGGGACATATTTCTTTTATTGTAATCAATTGGTGAAGCTGCACTATTTTTCTTTTCCTTGTATTTCAATTCTCCTTTGACAGGTATGCCCACACTCAACATTAGCATCTTATATCTACTCTCCTATTTTCTATTCCCCTGTCGTAGTTTTTAGAAGTTCTAGTCATTCCTAGTTGAATTTACTAAAAGCATATCATGCACACATGCCGTATGCCCCCTTTGCTAGTTTCTATAAGATTTAAATTAAACTTGAATTTGCTTGATGATGGCCTAATAGATCATCATGTTATGTGAGAACAAATGATACTAAGACCAAAGTTTCAGGGAATGCATAATTGGTCCCATTAATTATCCAGAAATCTAGAAGTTACAACTTACAAAAACCTTTCTGGATTTTTATTCTTTATTTCCTTTTTACTTTTTTTTCTTCTGAGAACAGCACTATGATTTTCTGAATAAACCTTTGTGTTCATGAAGAGTTCATTAGACTGAAGGTAAGTTATCTGGACATTGATTTTAATTTCAAGCTGAAATGTAAGGAGAGGAGATCGTAGTTCCAATAAACTTTGATTGTTGGCTGGAATTCTTAATTTGCTGGGGATCGGTTCTGTTGGTGACATTGTTCTTGGTTATCTTTTGAATAGCTCAGATGATGCGTCCTTTTGCCAATGAATAAAGCATGCTTGCTGCTTAAATGTTTTGATGCTTTTCATGTGTAGTTTATATGACCTTTCCACTCCTTCAAAATTTAACCATGTTTGGTGCTTAAATTTTTGGATGCTTTTCGCATGTAGTTTGTTTGACCTTTTCATTGTTCCTTCATGGACTTGCTGGCTCTGATTGCATTCTTGCTTATATCTTTACTTGGTTTGATGCCAGAATTTGGTTGAGGAGAAGGATAAGAAAGCGAAGGAGTTTCAAGATAACACTGTTGCAGTCAATTTTACCCCACAAAGCAAAATAGGCAAGATGCTAGTGGCTAAATGTAGGACGCTGTTTGAGGAAACTGAAGAGATCGAAACCAGGTTAATGAAGGAAGGTATTAGATGATTTTCTAGATGTATGAAGTATAAAATATAAAATTCTTTTAGTTCAAAACTACCGATACAGAAAGAAATTCTTTTTAGCTCAAACACTGAATTTAGAGATGGAAGAGACTAGTCTATTCATTGGTTACCAAATTGCCTAGCTTGTTTTTTCCAGGTTTGTTAAATTATGATGGTTGCTTTAAAGGTGATAAATGTGAGATGTTACAGAAATTCTGTTTCTTTCTTCACTTGCAGATGCATGAATTAAGAATGAAACTGGCTTTGCAGAAGTCTCACTAATGTTCTCTCCAATTGCTTTATTAAATACACCACTGTTTTCCTTTAAATCGGGCTAGGCATTTTTTGTTTGCTGCTCATTTTATTGTGATTGTCCATCATGCGATTGTTGTATAGGAAAATATTCTCCACAAAGAAAATTATTTTCTGCATCATGAATTAATGTTTTACAATGGAAAATATATTGCCTCAAAAGATCATTTTCATGATGATTTTTATTGTTTGGTTGGATAGAAAAATAACAGATATATTGTATGAGCCTATGAGGTATAGGGTAAGTATAGTTACAATAGTAGTATAATGTGTTCATAATATTGGTAATTTGGTAAAAATCATAATGAACCTGTTATATCAGAGATTAGTATAAAAAAGTTACTTACACTATAAGTATGTATAACTTAAATAGATTCAAAGGAAATGACTTCCACTTCGTTATACTAAATGCGTCTGAGAATCTAGTTTGATAGCGCATCAAAATTATGGGGGAAGGGAGAAGAACTAATATATAAAACAATATATAGAAACTGCAATTAAAATACAATCCTCTCAAAATACAAAAATTAAGCTCCCCTTAACAAGATCCTCCAAAAAAATCAAAGTGAATATATAATCCAAGTACAGGCAAGGAAATGGGCCATCATCATCATCATCCTAAGCTAAATAAAGAGATAGCAATTCATACATATAGAGGCAAACTAAAACAAATGATGCAGGATGAAAAGAGAGCTCTACATTAGAAAGCAGAGTAGACCCCATCCTAAGACCAAGCTTTTCACAACCATTGTTGACATCTTCAGGCCCTCCACTCCACTCTGCAAATTAAACATGCTTCCAAATATCAAGAAATGACTAAAAATAATTGCTTTTAAGAAGGGTTACTAATTAAATAGGATTACCGGTTTAATAAAGTAAAGGAACTAGGAAACAAACAAAATCATATAATTACCGGGTTTTTTTGTCTTTGTTTTTCCGGATGTTTGGTCCATTGCATTTTAAATGAAAAATTAAGAGTCTTGTAATTAGTTGTATAGATTATATCTACATCTTTATCTAGGTATAACGTATCAGTTTTTGTTACAGATAATTTTTTTTTGATAAAGGTAACATATTTTTTGTTACAAATAATTACTCACTATACTAAGTTGTCTAATTTAGAAACATATTTAATTAGAGCTAGATCATATCTAAAACTAAATGTATTTAAAGCATGCAATCAGTCCGTAAATCCAACGTACGGGATCCTAACTAACTAGTGATTTATATCTTTAATTTTAAAAGTGTGGAATCACCTCTTTACTTTAAATGATTAACAAAGAAAATAAAATGTGCATGTACCTGATCAGTAGCTGAAGGGGCAGGAGATAAAGCTCCAAGACTCGGGGCTAGTGCTGGTGCTCCAGCGGGAGGACTAAATCCTAAAGGAGATGGTGCTGGAGAAGTCAATTTCTTTGCAGGAGCTGGAGCAGGAGTTGATGGAAGTGGCGCAGGAGAAGGTGCTGCCGGAGGAGGTGGAGAGTTCACTGGTGGAGGAGGAGAAGCAGTAGGAGTAGGAGGTGCTGGTGGTGGAGAAGTTACAACAGGAGGTGGGGATGAAACTGTGGGGGGTGGTGAAGCAGTTGGTGGTGGCTGAGCCGGTGGTGTTTGGTTGTTAACTGGTGGAGGAGAACCAGTGGGTGTAGGTGGAGCTTGGGTAGCTGGTGTTGGAGGCGCTTGGGTAGTGGGTGTAGGTGGTGCTTGGTTAGTGGGTGTTGGAGGAGCCTGGTTAGTGGGTGTTGGTGGAGTCTGTGTAGGTGGTGCTTGATTAGTAGGGGGTGCCTGTGTTGGTGGTGCCTGTGTAGGTGGTGCTTGGGTAGGGGGTGCCTGTGTTGGTGGTGCCTGCGTAGGTGGTGCTTGGTTAGTAGGGGGTGTCTGTGTTGGTGGTGCCTGTGTAGGTGGTGCTTGGGTAGGGGGTGTTGGAGGTGCTTGACCTCCAACCCCAGCGACGATAATGCAGATCATAAACCCCAACAAAACAGCATTATTCCTACCCATCATTTTGACAATGGAGAGGAGGAAATTAAAGGAATGTGAAAGAAGATATCTGGTGCTGCTTGGGAAAAGAGAGGTTTGGGAAGGGAATATATAAGAGATTTTCTAAAAGAAGTATGGTATATATTTGAAGGTTGGAAAAGAAAGAGTAGAAAGGTGGCAAATCCAATTTGTAGTAACAGTGTGAGTTGTGACTACCAAATACTTATGGTATGTTATTATCTTACGTTGGTACTAAAGAGATATCAACTAGCTAGGTTAGGCCTTGTATTGCACTTTACTTTGCCAATGCCTCTTGTTGGGGCTGTCTTTTTTTTCTCTCTACGTTGTTGGCATATTAATGTAGCTCGAGGAGAATTCATTTTTTATTTTTTTACTCAATTTCAGAAAAAATAAAAGAATAAATAAAAAGAGGGGGGATCGCACCTTCAGCGAAGAAATAAGGTGACCAGCTGGAAGTTTTTGAAATCCCAACAATATTTTCTATATAAAAAGAATCCGGAAAGCCTGATGCTGTCAGTAAGAAGGTAGCCGGCGCCTTTCGAAGCACTTTCTATTTCTAGTTAGCGCTGTTTTTTGATTGCAGCTAGCGCGCTTGACTAGAATTCAAGATTTAAGCTATATGAATCTAATTTTAAAGCTTTAACTGTGAACCTTTTGTATTTTTTTAAAATTGTGTATTTATTTGTAATGTATTTCTACATGTGCGGTGAAAACACACATTCATATGATCTGTTGCCAAAATGCCGCATACGGTTGTGTTTGTAACGACATTATTATTGTTGTTAATTACATGTTGAAATAACAGTTTACCTACATACATTTATATTGTTCAAAATACATATATCTGATGGAGTAGATATATGTATTTCAAATAAACGCGAGTCAAATGAGGTGTAATTTGTTCCAGATATATTGTATCCAAATGTGATTTGCATGTATCTAAGATATACAGACTCTCTCCTCTCTTGCTCGTTTCTCCTTATGTATTTACATTTTAGAATATATATATATATGAGTTTTACAAATTCTATTTATTTGATAAAAATTATGTAATTATTTTTTTAAGAAAAAATATGATAAAAAAAATTATTTAATTAAATTGTTTTTCCTATTCCTTGTGAGAATTAGTTTCATGCAGATAGAAAACATGAATGATGAACAAGAAATGGGTGGCCCAATGGTTGGTATTGATTCGAAAGAAAGGAAGATCATTCAACGTAATTCTCAAGCCATTTTGCTTCCAAAGTAATTCCCTTTACTCTCTCAGTTTATGCACTACTTTTTCTTTTTGCATGATTCAATATTTTAAAATATATTTTAATATGAGAAGATAAATATAATTTTAAAATATTTAGTTGATCTAATTCAATTTTAATTTTAAAACTAGTCAATTTGGGAGTTATTTCCACTCTACAGTGAAACAAAAAAAAAATCTTTATGATGATAATAATCCTGAGCAACAGACAAGTTTATTAGGTGAGAGACCTTTTTAAAAAGTCTAAATCATGAGGTTTGCATTATGATTATACCTAAATAGTTCTATTTGTTATCATAATTAGGTTCATCAGGTTCTCATTATTTATTATTCTAGCTCTCATTGCCCATCATTTTAAATTTTAAGCTCTACATTCTTCCCGTTTAAGTTAATCTATTTAATTTTGCTTCAAAGTATATAGTTAAAATGACTCTTTGAAAATGAAAAGACGTCATATAAATTAGGATAAAGAAAGCAGCATATTCATTTTGTTACAAAAATCGATTTGTTTTCTCGAAGAATTATTATTATAATAGCCTTTTAGAGTAGCACTTTTAGAAACAAATAGTTTGTGTTTGCTTAATTCATTGTAAGGAGTTTTAAAGCTTTTGAAGATCAAATACTATAAAAAAGGATAAGTATGTTTAATGTTAAGATTATTTTTTAAAGATAAATTATAAATATCTATTATGAAATGTTTTATTTAAGTTTTTACTTTTATTTTATTAAAATTTTCAATCAATGTAATGTATAGATAAATCAAAAAAGATATTAAATGCTTCTGCTTTTGCTTAAAAATATTTTACATATTGGGCAAACACCTTAATTTTTAAAAAGTTTTTTTTTTCTTTAGAAAGAATGCTTTCGGCCTCCAAATTGTTTGGCCAAACAGGCTCTCAGTCTAATGTGACACTTTCAAATTTTTAAATCCCCATATTCAGATTGAAATGAAATTAAAGTTTTACTTGGACATGTAATTTGAGTTTCTTAAGTTATATTTTTTTCCTCATAAACATGAAAATCCCACAAGTTATGAAAACGATAAAAACTTTTCCAATTCTTATACAATCATACCAAAAGAACAATTTATAGTTCATAAACAAGATATTAGAATATCCTAAAGCTCCAACATTATAAATCACACATCTCCATGTTCCTTTAATAAATAAATGTTAACAATAGTAATAACTAGTTATTCTTTAGGATAATCCTTTCGCATGGTACAAACAATCTCCTCATGCTGAACATGAGTCTTTTTTTGTAAAATAAAAAATGATGCCTCTTTTCTTATGAAATATAAACTTATGATTCAAGTTTTACATTTGTTCATGATTTGAGATTTCAAATCATGTTTTTTATTTAAAACTTGGTATGATTTTAAATTATGATCCCAAATCACATATCCAAATATTGATTTGAAATCTTGACTTTATATTGCATATTTAAACACTAATTTAAAATCATAATTTTATATCACATATCCAAATACAAACTTACTATAAAAAAGAAGTGGTGACAGCTGTGATAATCCATCCCAATTTTTTTCATGAATCCTCCTCTGTGGCATGAAGAAATGAATATTACTAATCTATTTTAATTTATCTGTCTTATAATATATATTTATTTTTTTTAAAAATACATCTTTCATAATTTAGCAATTGTTAAATTTTAACATTTAACATAACATATTTAGAATTTAAAAATATTTTAATATATACTGCACATAACTCTAGTTTAAAACTACAACACTTAATTATTATTATTATTATTTACTTTTTAAAGCTTCTTATTCAATCAAACTAAGACATAATTAAAAATGAAGTATCATATTTTATGTCAAAAAAATTTGTTAAGAGCTCAAACAAATTAACCTCAAAGGTGAGAAAAATAGCATCCTTATGGCAAGTTTAAATTTAGCTGACCTTAGGACAAAAGTCAATATTATAGGTACATGTGTCATCATTATTAATTAGTTGAAATGTTGAATAGACAAGTTATCTGTAAATCCTTTTAATTTCGATGGTTTAATTATTAATTATGGCAAATCACCATGCAAGATTTAACCACCAATCCATAATGATACAGCTAGCAATGCCCTGGATATTCTTTATTAGGCCCAAACAGCTTAGAGTAAAAGGAAAAAGGTCCATATACTTAACTACACGTGTAAAGGATTATTGGGGTGACCAAATAAATTATTTGGTATGTATTAATTTTATAGTATCATTTATACAATGTCCCGTGGATTGATAGAAAATAAGTTTCAGGTATAAAATTAGTAAAAAAAATTAGGAATCACATAGTGTAAGGAGCAAATTACATTCTATCCTTACCTTTTTTAAATTTACAAAAATCCATTCAATTTGTGTCATTCGGATACATTTCATTCATCTGGATATATAACTGTTGATGCATAATTAGATAAATTGTCTGTTGAGATTAAAAAGGAAATTAAATGTCAGTTACTCAAATTACCCAAATCAAATTGATGTCAATCTCTCCCAAATCGTAACAACTTCAAGTAATTAAAATTTCTTCTCTCAAATCTCTTCCAAATCGTAACAGTTTCAAAAAAGTCGAAAACAATAGCTGATACATGATGAATATATCTATTTTGTTGAGATATTCAGGCATCTGGGAAAGCGAGGTGAGTTATGAACTATACAAAAGTGATGGAATAGATGTCGGTCGAACAATTTCTTTTGTGAATTTCAAATCCGCCATTGCAGCTGAATTGGAGATCGATGAGATGAGGAAAAACTTGGAAATCTGATACATAGCAGAAGAAAATAACGGAAAAAAATTGGCAATGGGATTCAATCCTTGGAAAATTGTAAGTTGTAACAGACTAGCATAATTCAAAATTCAAAATTCTTCTTCTCATTCTTCCAAAAAAAATCTTAATTTTTGATTCAAAATTGTCGACAAATTGTACTGATACAACATGAACCTATCGATCTTGTTCAGACTTTCCGTAATCTAGGAAAGTAAGGTGAGGTATGAACGATACAAAAGTGACGAAATTGTTGTTGATCAAAATATTTATTTTGTGAATCTCAAATCAGCAATTGCAACTGAATTAAAGATGGATGAGTTGAGAAAAAAATTGAAGTTTCGATACATCATTGAGGTAAAGAAACAAGATCCTAGATTTTCAATGTATCTGCTATGCATTGATACAACAAACAAAATTAAAAGGCTGAAGAGATACATAGATTTGATGGATCATCCATAACTTTTATAATGTTGTGCAACCATTTTTTGAATTGTGTTTTCAAGATGGATAGTTTTATCAATGCATTACTATTTATGTAGTTTGTTTAAATTGATGAGTACTTTATTTCTACATTCAATAAGTAATTATTTGCCCATAAGAAGTTAGATTTGAGATCGATACATTACTATGTGGTAGTTACTATGTATCAATACATTTAGGGGAAAAGGCATAGATTCTCCCCTAAACTTGTTCCGAAAAGTCAGTTACGCGCTTAAACTATCACGGTGACCTATTACACACCTTAACTACTCAAAAGTGAATTTATTACCGTCAAACTCAAAAATTGATTAACAACCAAAATTTCTTTAACAAAGTCAAATTTTTTTAAAAAAAGATAGAAACAATCAATCAAAAAATTTCTACATAAAATATAATTATTCACTAACAAATCTATGAGAATTAACCTAATTGTGAATTAAAAAAAATTGTGCTTTAAGATTGTGATAAAAAATAAAGAAGTGTGATGAAAATAAAGAATGAAGAAGAAGAGGACAATGGGTGGGGTTTGAAGAAGAAGAGGTGTGGGGGGTGGGGGTGGAAAAGGGGATTCTAATTTATTTATTTATTAACTTTAATTTCAAATTGACGCGTCTATTTTTTTTTTTTGCCATGTCAATTTTAGAGGGTAAGAAAATTCACTTTTGAATAGTATAGGTGTGTAATAGGTCACTATGATAGTTTTAGCGTGTAACTGACTTTTCGGGACAAGTTCAAAGAGAAATTTATGCCTTTTTCCATACATTTAGTATAAAATCGACTTTATGTATCATGCCTAAAAGTTAGTGCATAATACATTATCTTATTTTATTTGAGATAAAAGAATTTATCTAGTAAAGTCATTAAATTTTGTTTTTTATATAAATAAAATCATTCAGCTTAGACATTTATACCAATTAAATCACTCAACTATATTTATTATTTAAAAAAATATTTACATAGAAAAATAAATATGTCAATATTAACTCCACATATAAATAAAACTAAAGAAAATTCATCAAAAAAATTATGAATGAATTTAATAAGTGAAATAAATATAATATTATTATGTATTTAAAATTTAAAATGTATCACGATGGACGTTATCCTAATAATTAATATTATTGATTTTATCATTCTGCAATTTTTTTTTTATTAAGAAGTCAAAAAGTTTTATAATTCAAGGATCGCAACAATTTTATAGTTGCAGTTATTAAGCCAATGACTATATCATTTTCTTATATGTCATGACAATTTTTTTACGGGTGTTTTCTCTTATTTTTCTATTTAGGAAAACTCTCATCATAATACATTTCAAATTTTAAATATATAGTAATTTCATTATGTAATTTTCACTAATTAAATTCGTCCATAAGAAAATCATGATGATATTTTTTTATTTATTCATGGAGCTTATATTTATATGGCATAAAAATAATTTATTTTGCTATGTCAATTTTTAATGATAAATTTAGTAGAGTAATTTTAGTGATACAAAGATTAGTGATACAAAGACCTAAGTTGAGTGATTTTATTGATACAAAATAAAGTTTAATGACTTTGCTAGATAAATTCTCAAAGTTAAGTGACATTTTAAGATATTAACTCCATGTTTGTGTATGTGATACATAACACAGTGATGAGTTGATATGTATATGATACATGTATTAAAGTTTGAAAACTTTTGATACACCATGTTTTAGCTATAGAACATTTGGTTTATGTATCAAGTGTATTTATTGAGTAATGTGTACAAATATATAACCTTCTAATTTGAATAAGTCTATACAAAAATTAAAGATTGCAGATACATTACAACAACTGATACATGGTAGATTATACAATTGATAATAATTATGTATCAGATAAATAATTAAAGACATGAGACACACAAAATTGATAAACAACAAAAAATCAAAAAAAATCAACCAGTTGTTTTACCAATGTTGTGTCATATATGTAAATATTAATATGATACAAATTGATATTCTTATAAAAATATTAGTGTTGATGTATCCACAATAATATTTGATAATGTCTACAGATACATAACCATCTAGTTGAATAAGTTTGGTGTATGTATCTGATAGTAAAAGCTAACGAAATTTATAATGGTTATGTACCAAATATATAACTATGAACATGATACATATTAATTTGTGTTTCAATAAAGGTTATGTATCAAAACTAATATTTAAACAAACATTGTGCATGATGAAATTGTAATGTATCATAATGCTGAAACAGAGACATTATACATTAATTTAAGAAACAAAAACAACTGGATACATTAAAAATTTGAACTCATAGGTATCAGAAAAAGATGAACAAGAAAAAAATGAAAAAAAATAATGAAGAAATCTTTCTACACTTTCTCCTTTGCTCTGTATCAACTCCCACAATTTTTTTTCACTTTCAACAATAACGTCATACATAAATCTCAACCTAAAGTCCTTATCGGAGTCACCAATAACTCAATCTTATATATTATTTTGCGTATTATTTTGTCGGATTAGAAAAAATTGGTAACAAAAATATTTTGTAGGATGAAGGCATTAATTAATATCATGCTAATGAAGCTTATCACAAAGAAAGAAAATGAGCCTCTAGTTATACCTTCAGAATTACAAGACAATTTTTTACTACTATGAAAATATTGTGTGATAAATTAAGGATGAAATTCGTTGTGATTTTTTGTGATTTGGAAAGATTTTATTTATTTTGTGATGATTTTTTCATATGTAATGATTTAATTTATGGAAGGGGTTTTGAATTTATTTTACTTAATATTTCTAATTATATTTAAATCATCATATTTATATTATATCAGTATTTTATTTGTTTTTTTATTTATCATGTATAATATTGATTAAAAATTTAAATATGTACATTTTAATTTCATAAAATATTTTTTTATAAATAAATATTTAAAATAATTTCTCTCTATAAAGTAATCTTAATATTAAAAGTACATTGATACTTGTCATTTTTCATAATTTAACTCTCAAAATATTTTTAAAAAGTATTAGTCAACAACAATTTGCTATCAAAGCACTTTTTTTTTTCAATAACACTTTTCTGAAATGCTATTTTCTTAAAAATGCTATAAAATTTAAATAATATCTTTGCAGTAAACAAATTCTTAATATGTATACCAATTTCAAATATAACAAGTAAAAATGAATGAAGGGAGTATAATTTTATTATATTAAGTATAAAGAAAAATTATCTAGTATATATATTTATTAATATTGGATGTAATTTATTAGTACTACTCCCTTCGTTTACTTTTACTGGTTATTTATGTCTTTTCTAAAATAGATTTTCATTTTTACTTGTCACTTTTGACATATAAAAACAAGACAATTTTTTTTCTTCATGTTTTACTCTTAGCATTAAATATTATTCTCCAAATTATTTCCCAAGAGTTAGTACTAAACACCAATTAATAGATATAGTTTGATAAAACATATATATCAATAATTATTTTTTTAATGAGTGTGCCAAATTAAATAGTGACAAGTAAAATTGAATAGAGAAAATATATATCTAAGTAAATAAATATTCCTTTTTTTTTCTTTTTTTTACACAGTTGAGATTTTGAAAACCCTGGCCTCTCTTATCCACTCTCAAAAGAAAACCCCCATTTTCAATTTTGAAGAGCACACTCCTCTCTGCAAACTCCCAAAAGCCACAGTTTCAGTAAACAAGAAAAAAATGGCGGTGTCTTTAGGACTTTTCTCAGCTTTCTCGACTGTACAAACGGCCTTATTTTTGAAGTCGTCGTCGTCTTCTTCTTCTGTTAGGCTTGCCGGTAATCTACGGGTGGTGACATTCGCCGGCTCTGCGAAGCCAGCTACAACGGAGTCAAAGAAGAGAGAACCAAGAGGCATAATGAAGCCAGGTCGAGTTTCGCCGGAAATGCAGGCCTTCCTCGGCGGACTTCCGGAGATTCCTCGGACTCAAGCACTCAAGTTCATTTGGGCTCACATCAAACAACACAACCTTCAGGTATACCAATTACTCTCTGTTTTTGGATGGTTGTTACACATTTTTCATTTTTCATAGTGTATCGTATTGTATTGCTTTAATAAATATAATATTTGGATAACTCTATCGTTTTTTGTCGTGTTTTACATCTTAACCCAACAATTTGAAAGATAAATCTACACGAAAGTAGTGTGCCGGGTAGAGATGCTATATTGAAAGGCAGGTAAAAGATAAAATAAGATTATTAAATAACAAGTAAAGATAAATATCAGTATTGGAATGATAAGTTGATTGTCCTTATTGGAATGAAAGGCGTCCAATTAGAGTGAATCTAATATAATTGACTGCTACAAGTTTTGGATTGACTGTAGTTGATTGAATGATTGATAATTTGATATGTATGTATCTTCTTGTTATTGTTGCATTAATGGGCTTCTTTTGGATTTTATTTCGAACATATGTGCTGTAAATTATTTCGTTCTGGTGGTTAGCAGTAGCCTAAGGGGATTTTACTTGATTATGCCTCCTTGATACTTAGAAAGAATGAGACGCTTCTTAGTTTTTGATTGGTGTCTGTTATGCAAATCCTGAATAATTCGGACAAATCATTAACAAAATCTGATCCCAGGCTAGGTGCACACATAAGAGGGTTCCCAAATGGTATGTTGATTATCTATCACATGGGGTTCACACAGATTATGCTCATGATGTTCTTTTCATTTGCATTTTTCACGTAACTGCATATATCGTACTTCTGCTATGGCTTATTTGTTAAATGCCCACTCACATGATTTCTGAACCTCTTTTAATTTATGTTGGTGCTTATGAAATGAGTCTTCCGAAGTTGGTTATTGCGTGAATATGTGATATGCATCTTCTTACTCTCAAGTAGAATCATAGTAACTCCTTTTTTACTTTAGTGTAATTGACATCGGTAATTCTGTCCCTTGATTCAGTAACATGTTGTCGGGTTATATTTTCCTAAAAGATAATGTCTGCATCATTTACGTTTCGTTCTGTAGTTGCTGAGGATGAATCACTGACTTTTTAACTGTTTATGAATTTGTAGCTCTTTTCTTTCTAGCCCAGAGCCTAGTTTGCCTGAGACAAGACAATAGTTATGTTCATGATCTCTCTCTCTCTCTTTCTCTTTGTTTTTGTACGTGGGTATCCAAATGAAATACACATTAAATGAAAAGATGAAAGTGACATCTCAATTTGTCATCAATGGTGTTGCCTTGGTTAATCAAAGAGAGGCTATGTGCTGTTCCATGTGAACCATTTTTATGCTGTCTGTTTATTATGCATTGGGTTCATTCAATATCCGTTTTGAATTGAGCGTGATGCCTGGAATTCATTCGTTTAGTTAACTTCTCCTAATCAAGAAAGTGCCAAGCTTATTATTCTGCATCTATCTATTATCTATTTCCACTTCCCTCTTAAACCCAATCCTGGTGATGTTGTGTGACTATGTCCTTTGTACAACTTCAACCTTGACATTTAACACAGTTGTTGAGTAATCTATCTGCAATTTTTATGATATTTGTTTTCATATTCGGTTGGTCAAACTGTTTACCAGAACATAGTCAAGTTCTATGTTGTTTAGACCCTCCAAAATGCATAACTTTTGGAGGATCCAGCACACATTATTGTTGAAGTGTCCGAGCAACATAGGTCAGGTTGATAGTTGGAGGCAGACCCAGTATATATATAACTTATGTGGATTATCTTTGTAGGATCCGGAGGACAAGAAGGTCATAATCTGTGATGACAAGTTGAAGAAGATTTTCGGAGGTAGAGATCGGGTTGGATTCCTTGAGATCGCTGGATTGATTAGTCCTCACTTTCTCAAGTGATCCAAGTTAAGAAAAACTATGGAATGAAATCTCTCTTTTTTTCATTTTTTCTTTTTGTGAATTAGATTCTAGATTGGATATTTGGAGGATATATCTTTTAGGACTCAAATGTGCGTTTTTTATTAATTTAGCTCGGGTTGGTGCTTTGAAGGTGTCTCAACATATGACGAGACACAAGATTAAAAGACATTTTGGTATATTTTATATATCTTTAGTTTAAGATTACAAGATTTTAAAGTTTTTCTTACTTAAATTCTTTGTTAAGTCAACTAAACAAACAAATTAAAACAGAGGGAGTGGTTTTTTTTTTAATTTTTTTTTTTTTAAAATTGACTGCTAATTTTGTATTTCCAAATCTTCATATGTAGCTTTTGCTTTTGCAACTTGACTAGTTACTATGCCTCAAGAAAGAAATCGCGCCAACTCTTCGTCCAATGGTTAGGTTCCGTACGACCAACAGTAAACACTAAACAGTAAAATAAAATTTACTAAATTTTCGTGGTAAACTTTCTCGTTCAAGGAAATAAAAACCATGATTTATAACGGGTGGAATTTTAGCAATCAAAACTTTACCAACTTTAAAGAGTGATTTCAGATTATAACTCTATAATTTAAGGAACTAATTTTAGTATATCAAACTCACCAGTTCATTAACTCTAATTGTTCTAAGTGCTCTCGAAGAATTTAAAGTCGTTTTTTGTTACAAACCTCACTTACATTGCTATTTACTTCAATCTAGGAATTACTACAACTCAATAATAATCCTAGAACAATGTCAACTACCATACAAAAATAAACAACTCTCTAGTTCTTCCTTCTTTTGTTGCATGTACTATTTGTATATATGTGCTAAGGTCCATTCTCAAGTGTATGAAGTGTCCCGGATGTGGTTTAAGTTCATAAGGGATCTCTAGTACTAAATCGAGTTCAAAGCCTGCCTACCGAATAAGTTTTTCGCATTAGTTAATGCAAGGGTCAATTTTAAATGTCCATATCTGCTAGAATATAAAGACTTATGTAGACCATAACCTACGAATTAAAGGTATTTGAGTCTTCTTTCCAATACCTATCGATTTAAAGATATTTGAGTCTTCTTTCTAACACAATAAACCTTTCATCTACCTGCAATTTGTACACGAAGTTATGCCCATTTTAATGTACATTGTCAGGGCTACGCATCAGTTGCATGTCAGAGGCATCTTCTGCACGATATCGCACGGAGGCAGTGGCTATTGCCTTCTGGCTAAGTGTTTGCCACGTTTTTAGCGCGATACCGTGCATCAAAAGACTCTTAATAACTCCCCTAAAGACGTAGTTCACATTTCTAGTTCAAAAGTTTACCCTAGAAGAGAAATTCTCAAGAAACTAACTTCCTCCAATGTAAGATTTGACCATAGAATTTCATAATTTCTTTATCTTAACACCAATTAATACCTTTTTACTCGTGAAATCCATATGTTTTCAAGAAAATCCACCTCTAAGGTTCAAGAAAAAGTTCTTAGATATCTTTTTCTCTAAAGATTCTTAAGAATTTAGAGCGTTCAAGGTATGTAAGGCTATCATAGTGAGGAACTTAGTTCTTCACGCCCTATATCTACAATTTTAGTTAATAAGATCAAAGTTAGGGGTTTTATCCAAAGTCTATGTCACGACCCAAGGTAACCCCCAAGAATAACATGACGTATAAGACCCGGAGATTCCCCATACAAGCCACTTAACATTCATCATACAAGATAATAGACTATAAGAGATTTAAAAGACAGTTTCAACATAGGAAAGTTTTATAGAGAAAAGCGGAAGTCTACACACCGTCTCAAAAACATCTAGTATATAAGAAATGATTGGGGCGTAGCCTGTACATCAAGTTCAAGACTGAAAGTAAAAACAAAAGGAAAACCAAAGCTCGGTCCTCCGAACATGAGGACTCACCAATCTTCAAGCTTCTATATGAGATCCCTAGCCACAGAAGTGCGAATCTGTAAGGTCGGTCTCTACATTTGGGGAAATATAGGCAAGAGTATGCATTAGTACAAACATGTACCAAGTATGATAGCAATGCATAAATTATTTGAAAACATGCTTAAAAAGGGGATATCTTCATGGTATGCAATGACTAAACTAAAAATGATATAAAAGGGCTAGAAGATATAAGTCATAAAACATGGTCAATGCCAATTGACATCATCTTAAATCACACGTGAGATACTTCTTGAAGTAACCTTAGTTCATTATTGTGGGAGATTTATCTTTAACCGACATATAAGACCATGTGAGCTATCAACACGGAATTCAGTGTTTATCCCACACCAAAAAGAGGTGTCCTACTTGCCAAAGTAAGACCATGAACTTCTAACTTATGTGGACCCACTAGCTAATGTCTATCTAAGACAATCATCCTATGCGGGCACATAGGTATGGGATAAGGAGACTGCTACTAGAAACCCGACCTCTACTAACGAGAGAGTGTCCATCTCAATATCCTCTGCTAAGCATAAATCCCACAGAATAGTCATTTTCTTAACTTGTCCTTATTATCCATGATATGGAACGTCATATTGTCAATACAAGCTAAGTCATATGTCATCCATGGAAAGGTACAATCAAGTAAATAATCCAAGCTAGGTTTCATTAGAATAGCTCTTTAACTTTGATTCATTTTAGCTGAGAAGACCTTTCAACCTTGGAATCTTTTATGTGAGAAAACCTTTCATATTCATGCATGAGGTAGTTATGTGAGCAATCCTTTCACAAAAATTAACCACAACAACAACATATATGATTTTACTCTCAAAGCAATTTACATCATATCTCATAAATTCCATAAGAACATGCATATTTCCATAATTCACCTTTCATAGTTCAAGATCCACTTTCAATCATCAATATCTAGAAAATATGGGTTAATCATGGGTTCATGATGAGCCATCTTAAAATCCTGAGATTATATCAATTCATGCATAAAAGTTCATAAATCAATTAAATAAGTCAACATTGAAAGGAACCCGTGACATGGAAGAAAAATCCTAACTCAATTAGAGATTTCTAACTTTGTAAATTGGAGAATTTAGGAACTCCATGGAGGAAAGAGCTCCATGGATGAAAATTATCATACCTCAATGCCAAGAGCTTGCCTTCAATAGTGGAATTGGAGGCTTGACTTGAAACCCTAGGTTGACTCCTTCTTCTTCAGCTTTCTAGAGAGAAATATTTTGGAGAGGAAATCTGGTTCTTCTTTTAGGAATTTGAGAGAATGATTTCAATTGGGGAAATTTGGGGTTAAAAACACTTATATAGGGTTTTAGGTGAAGGGTAAAATAACAGAGTATTAGGCTAGAATAATTAGGAAAAGACCCAAAAGCCCCTAAGAAAATAACTGCCGACACCCATCGACGACCAGACCGACAGTCTGTTGGTTAGACCACAGACCGTTCTGGTTGGTTGTCGTTTGGGGTCATAGACTTTGTCTTTGGGACCCCCAACCACGGGCCCACCTACGACACGTGGGTCCTTCAATGGACAATGGACCACGATCGTAGGTTTCAACTCTTTTTCTAAAAATCTTTTTACCTTCAGGACTCACCTATGAACCCTACCTAGACTCGTACATGGAACGACAGACCGTCCTAATGAACCATCGAAAAAGTTCTAAAACTTGACATTTTGAAAAATTTATAACTCACCACCCACGCCACCACCAACGGACCGTCGTCCCACCTACGAGTCGTGGGTGGTGTCGTCTATGCTGGCACCAGGTTTGTGGAAAAACTGAAATTTTCCCCTTCTAGAATACGAGGTGTTACATTATCTCTCCCTTGGAAACATTCATCCTCGAATGATATTCAAGACATCGCATGGAGGGTGGGAACTTAATCTAACAACCCAACATGAATGCAATTACAATAATACACATATCCGAGGAGGAAACATCAACTCCAAGCTAAAACATGTTCAAGGCATCATATCAATAGGTCTATATGCAACTCATATGCAAATGCACATAAACATGTACAAATCAATCAAGTAAACTCATTTTCTCAAAATTTAATCTTTTCATGAATCATGCGTAAATGAGGAAATCATGGGAATATCTAAGACACATGACACCAAAAGAGTAAACCATGAGGAACTCAATACCTCAAGCTAGAGGAGGATTGGAAGGAAAGAGATGAGGATAACATGACATCATATCGGCCTCGGACTCCCAAGTAGCACCCTCAACTAACTAATTCCTCCAAAGAACTTTCACAAAAGCAACTTCTTTATTTCTCAACTTCTTAACTTGTCGGTCTAAAATCTCAACCGGAACTTCCTCATAAAAAAATTCTCCTTAACTCCCAAACCTTCTAAGGGAACTATAGATGTCGGATCTCCAACATATTTCTTCAACATGGAGACATGGAAGACTGGATACACCGATGCCAACTCATTAGGCAAATCAAGTTCATAAGCAACCTTGCCAATTCGCCTCAAAATCTGATATGGGCCCACATATCGGGGACTAAGCTTTCCATTCTTCCCAAATCTCATCACACCCTTCATGGGTGAAATTTTCAAGTAGATCCAGTCATCTACCTCGAGCTCAAGATCTCTTATCCTCATATCATCATAGGAATTTTGTCGACTTTAAGCCGTTTTCAACCTTTCTCTAATAAGCCTAACTTTCTCCATAGCCTCATGTACCAATTCGCGACCTCTCAAGGCAACTTCACCCACCTCAAACCAACCTATAGGAGATATACACCTCCTACCATATAAAGCCTCAAATGGAGTCATATCGATGCTTGAATGATATCTATTATTGTATGCGAACTCGATCAAAGACACGTGATCATCCCAATTACCCTTGAAGTCAATTACATATTCCTTAATATATCTTCCAAAGTTTGAATTGTACACTCCGCTCGCCCATCGATTTGTGGGTGAAAGGAAATATTAAGCTTAAAACGAGTGCCAAGACCCTTTTGAAATGATTTTCAAAACTAAGAGGTGAATTAAGTACTACGAATGGAGATAATGGATAAGGGCACTCCATGCAACCTCACAATTTCCTTCAAATACAACTTAGCATAGTCCTCCGCCGAATAATAGACTTTGATGGGAATAAAATGAGCCAATTCCGTCATTCGATCTATAATAACCTAAATCGATTCATGTTGTCGTCGGGTGCGAGACAAACCAACAATGAAGTCCATGTTCAAATCTTCCCACTTCCAAGTAGGAATACT